TTTACAGTCTGATCAGGCGCAGCCCTGCGCACAAAGCTACTGAAGCTCGACCAACCACCAAGACTGCCCAGGCCTGGTGACGAGACCGCAGAGTGGGCAGGGGCGGCGACCGGGCCACGCGGCGCTAATCTTTTCATCGATCTGCGCTTTCGGGGGCTCAGATAATTCAACAGGTCGGTGCTGGCGTAGCTGATGTTTCCCCAAGTTGCTCCATGATGTCGCATGTACGCACAATGTATGAATTCCTGGCCCATGAGGCCGGTTCCAAAGCTTGAGGATGCCTTGCTCGGCAGGCCCGTGCAGGGCCAGGCTGGGCAATGCTGCAATGCTGGAGCTTTCGGTTGTGATGGAGGACATTTTGGGCTCCCCTGCCGCCCCTGCCCTGCGCCAGGACTCGGAGAGTGACGGCCCGCGCTATGAACAGTTCGCATTTGCTGCTTGGTCGATGTAGCACCAGCATCGAAGGTCTCGAAAGCAAAGAACCGAAAGAACCGTCATTTTGCATCATTGTTCTTTCTTATGCCAACACTGCACAACCATCATCTGGAAATAGCTCCTTGATCGATATAACCCCCACACGCACACAAACACAAAAATTCTAGCTGCTTGCAGGCACATGTCTTGTCACCAACCTTGGGAAGTTTTGCACATGGCACTGCAATTGCCTCTGCTTTCTGGCATCTTCCACGCAGATTCCTGAATGGCGTTCTGATTACATTGTGTGCGCGTGTGTCAGCAGATCCTTTTCCTTCACCTTTCTTACTCCACGAGTACAAATCCTCTATTCTTGCCCGGAGCATGAGGTGCCCCCAGACCGCACGAGAACGGGAAAACCTATTCGGCCAAATTCAGTAGAATACGTAGGACCTCATCATGAAGCAAAAGCATTCTCACGGCCGTGCATTAGCATCCAAGGACTTTGATGTGGAGTCCGGCGCACCGTCTTCGCCATTGTCGCCATTGTCACCATTGTCGCCATTGTCACCATTGTCACCGCGTTCCGACGCGCAGCAGCACCCATTCCTCAGTGTGCCTTCGGTGTTGGGAGAGGTGTCCGGGCGTTCCTGTTGGTTCACAGCCTGGAGCCCTGTGAGCCAGGAACTCTTGCTTATAGTGGGGAGTGCCTGCATCCTTGTAAGCCCAGGCAACAAATCGCTGGAACTGGCAAGTCGGCAGCATTTGCAAGCTTGCAAGCAGGGGCAGAATGTGATGCACTGTCTGCCGTTCGGCAACATGTGCTCTTGCATTGCAGATTTTGAGACCATGGCATGATGCGCTTCAGAGCCAAGTGGTCAGCTCCCCTTGAGTCCCTTGAGCACATGACAGCCGCAAACATCATGCTTGGTCCAAAAGCTTCTAGACATGCGCAAGTTGCGCAGCACAGTACATGGAGATTGATGGAGATTGCAAAGTGCGAAGGCAGACGCCAGAGGCAGATTCCGGGGTCCTTTCTCTAGGCCGGCAAAGATTGATGCTTGCATACTTGGTTGCAGCTTTGATGGCATGCATCCTGGCGTCACAACTGTGCAAAGAGATGTTAATGAGGAGACCATGAGCATCGGCCCACCTCCAAGCAAAGCGTTCTCCTGGTGAACAACCCCTTCGGACGAATCCTGCCTGCACAGTGTGCGCTTGGGATGTTTGGGCAATGCCGAGTTTCTTTCATCTTTTGGAGCTGCAGCGAGGGGGCCAGCATGTCGTCAAGGCAAGGGGTGATCCAACTTCACAAAGACGGGGCAGAGTAGGTTTTTGTTGGAGAGCAGGTTGGGCCTGAGACTCTTTTTCTTGGTGTACATACAAGTGGTTGAATCACCAACACAGAACAGAACAGAAAAACTTACCACTAATGGCCTTGACATACAAGTGGAAGACGAAGACTTCGACCTGCTAGCCAGAAAACCCCAACCCACCCTTTGCAAACCACCCCTCTCTCTCTCTCCCATCATTTGAACTGGATTTCGCCTGGTTTTGAAGCTTGGATGGGTTTGTGGGTTTTGGATGGGCGCGAAGAGAAGTAAGTAGGTCAAAACAACCGATCGCAAAATTCCCCTCCCTTCCCCCCCCCCCCCCCCCCCCCCCCCACCCCTTTTGGGAAAGTTGCTTGCTCAGCAGACCGAATATTTTCAGAGTCGGGGTGCAAGGCGGCGAGGGCAGTGCAAGATGCCGAGATTTCGACAGGCCGAATGCGCTCAGGGCATTAAAGATTAACAATATCATTTTTTTCCGCCCTCCCCCCTCCCCCTCCCCCCTCCCCCTCCCCCCTCCCCCTCCCCCCACCCTCCCTCCCCCCTCCCGCGAAAAAAGAAAACTAACATTTTGGGAAGACGGATGTGCTGCGGTGGACTGGCGGTGTGCCCGGCATCCCTTGCAGTGTGCTGTGATGCTGCGATGGCGACAAATCACTCGAGGGTGCACTTAAGGCCCCGGGGTTTGGGTTCCTTGCCGCAACTTTGATTGAGGTACTGTCAGTGGAGACAGCAGAGCCAGTTCTCGACGAATGCGTGCACGAGATGGCGGCCCTGAAGCTGCAACTCTGCTGCATGTTAGATCAGATGGTCACAACAGATTTTGGCTTCGTGTTTCATGATCTTCAACCCGCCGGCAGGCCCAGCCAAGTCGCTCGCTTCCTTTGGGGCGCTTGGCAGCCGCACACCCAGCGACCAATGGAGATGTAACACGCCAGTGCAACTCAAGTTGCATGAGGCGATTGGAGGACGAGCGTCAAAACTCCGAGGAGTGTTGCCGGAAGTGCTGGCTGCTTACAAAAGTCGCGCGCGCACTTCCAACACTTCCAGCACTTCCAATTGCTGCACCTGTGGGAAGAGCGACCGACCAGGTCCGACACGAGGTCCAGGACCTAAGGCGCAATCCATCTTTTGATTGCCATTGGAAAGACTACCCAGCCGCAAGCTGACGCAGGCCGCCGCTGGCACACCGCCTCTGCTATGCATGGTGAATGTGTTTAAGTGTTTTTCGTGCTCTGTCGGAATTCAGATGGTGGCTGAGAGATTTTCCGGAGGAAGATCGTTCAATTGCTCAGTTGCTGGATGCAGTCATTGGACATCCTGGAACGGCAGCCTGCACGCTGCATCGCAGAAACGCATCCCAGCACTGACATCTTGGAAAGCCAAGAGATACAACACATTGCCATGAGCAAGCGAATTAGGCAACCGAGGTTGATGTCACGTGTTTGGGTTTGCTGGAGTACGAGCTGAGTGGGCCCATGTCTAAGACATGGGACGCCCTACTTGCTTCGGCTAGATTGGATGGCAGCTATTGGTCTGGCTTTCATTGGGACTGTTACTAGTACCGGAAATCTTCGACCAAAAGTTTGGCAGAGGCTTGAGTTGCACCTTGCCAGGCCTGACGCGCGCCATGATGTAATACGTTGTGTCGTTGTGCCGCGAATCTCTAATCTCCAGAAGATGGAGCTGTTAGAGGCGGCTTAAGTCGATCACGAATGCCACACTCAGGCAGCAGGCCTCCAATCAACACTCTTCCGCTAAGCAATGTCTTTTCCACGCCATGCTTGCAATGCCATGTGTAGTCTTGGAGTGTGACGCTTACGGCTTGTAAGCCCTGGTCCTGTATGATTTGCTTTTGTCCATCTGGCTCCGCAGGGAGTCTGGTTAAACTCTAAGCGTGCCCTGCACCTCAAAGCGCGCGCCGCTTTGCTTGCGATTCGAGCCACAGGAGCTCCTGGGCCGATGTAGCAACGCATAAGAATGTTGGATGAGGCGAGAGACATGATGCCGTTTGACTGAGCATTTGTTTTTACAGGCTTAGTTGAACCAAGCTGGCCGACCTCGTACCATTGCGTCGGCAGAATAGAAAAGATGGCCTTTGGCTGGATGTTGGGGAATTGAGGGGATATTCGAGAGAGTCTCTGCAAGATGAGATCGTCACAACGACAGAGATATCGCCAAAAAAAGAAAAAGGGGGGTCCCCACTGTCCTAGGAGGGGCACTTACAAGCACCGACGAAAAGGAGGAGAGAGCCGATTAAGGCGATTCTGATGACTAAAGGCTCATGAAGAGCTGTCGTACTCGTAGGAGCTGGATAGGACTTCTGACTGTGTGACAACTGTGCCAAGTGGGCTCTCCTTAAGAAAAGAACGTGGCTCTTCCGGAAGCCCTGGTAAAGGTACTTGCGGAGGGGCCTATACCGGAGTGTACGAATTCCACGAGCAGCATGTCAGAGAGCGTTGGGATGTGAGCAGGAAGTGGCAGAACTTACCCTCTGGGGCAGAAGGGGGGATGTGGCCATTTGCGGCCCTGTCTTGACACACCTCCCTTCCCTACACCATGTGGCCAGAAGGCTGAACAGGGCCAACAGGTCCACGCTGTGCGTGGAATTTCGTGAACGTCGTGAACCACGCAGTCAAATTATGCAAAACGTTCGGGGGGCTCAGTGCAAGCCTGAAGGGGTGCATCTGCTGGATTGTCGCTGGGTATGGGGGACTTGTTTGTCGTGTTCGCGATGATGGCAACGACACCAGCGATATCAACAACACGCAAAAGCCTGGATGACCTTAGAATTTCGAGGTGGGCCTTGGCTGCTTTCAGCGCGGCAGCCACAAAGGTAGCACAACATCAAAGGCAGCCATTCCAATCCACAAGAGCTGGCGGAGCCATGAGCGGCAGCACGCTAAAGGGGCGTGTCCACGAAACCACTGAAAAGAGCACAAGAATAGAAGAGATCCTTTTGGGTACGCGCGGCGCACAGCCTCACTTCCCAAGGTTCGACCCTCGTTGATGAAAGAGGAAAAAGGGACATCGGCAGCGTGCAGTGCGGCACGAGTATGGACAGGTGAAGCAAGCTCTCGTGGAAAGACCCTGTGTGCGCTGCTCCAAACCCACATTCAAAGTTGTCCGACTCAAACAGGAGCAAGCACGTTTGGCTCCTCCACGCGCCATGGTCCCCCAAAGACAAGCAGAAGAAGAAACCCACGAAGAATGAGAGAACAGAGAGGTGCAGAGTGAGATTCGAGCCACACTGAGGCAAATCTGCAACCAGAGTCCGAAGTCCCCGCAGTGTGCCCCGATCGCATCTGCCAAGCAAGTGAGCAGAAACTAGACCTCGGAGCGTTTGGACATTGTGCCGGCCAGGTCTTTGTGTCTAGCATCTCTCTTTCGGCAAGGTGCTGAAGGCCACATTATGCATCTCGCGGTTCATATGAGCCGAGCACCTCCGACAACTGAAAGGCGGCGTGGGTGGCGCACCCCCTGGTCTTGTTCACCTGAAGGGCGGGTTCCGCAAACCTGGCACAATTTCGGTTTTTGACGTGTCTCAAGGGTAGAAGCTCAGCACAGCTGCGTGTGTTGCCAGGACAAGATTGGCTGCTGGAGACATGTGCGGCTGAAGATGCCTTCTTGAAAAAGTTCTTTGCACGCAAGCTTGTCCGGTTGTTACGAGTTTCTTGGTTTCCGTGACGGATCGTGACGGCAGTCCTGGTTCCAAAGCCTACCCTCACGACTGTGCAGAGACCTCGTGCTCACATGTTGCCGCCTCGGCCTCTATTCCTGTAGGGAGATTGCCCGGGCAGAAACGAGTGCCATGACTGCCCAATTGTAACGCAGATGCGGGGGTGCAGTAGCAAATTTTGCAGTTCTAGCAACCGGCTGAGATTGTCATTGCTGAGTTTTAAGTTCGGTCTTGGAGAGGGTCAGCAGTTTCTGGCCGTCCCCACGACTTCAGCCATGGACACAAAAGATGCAGTGGCCACTGCTGCTTGCAACCCAGCTGGCGCAAGCATCCTGAGAAACCTGCATGGGAATGCACACTGTTCGCCTTCTCCAGGCAGAGCTCCTGAATTGCATGACAGCCGGTGACCTGGCGCTGGCATCAGCCCAAGTGCTACAGCTAGTCTGACTACTTGGCATCGTGTTTTACAGTGCGACCGCTGAAGAAGAAATGGTTGTTTCACGGCCTGGATACTCCGGGTACGGTCGGTCAATGGTTGAGGGAAGTGCGCTGGGACGAATCCGCTGTCCCACGCTTGAGAGTTAAACTCGAGAACTGAGAGGCCCTCATTTCATTCTGGGGTTTGGGGTTTTGCGCTGCTTCTTCCGTTGAAATACGCAGTCTTGCGGCAGGCAACCCTAATTTAGAAATGAAAGCCCTCGGCTTTGCCGAGATAAGCGGCCGCTTTCTTGTTCTTCTGGAGAACTGAGTCGCGCGGACTCTTGCTTGGAGACAAGCTCGCGCATGTGTTCTTTGGGCAAGTCTTTCGACGACTCCATCTGAGGGTTTAGCAACCAGAGGACCGTGTTGCCATGAAGGGAGGGGGGGGAAACAGGCTAAGGCTAAGGCTTGATTCAGAAAGAGTTCCTGCAGTCATCATCGCATCGCATCAGCGGCAGCTTCAGGGTTCTCACGCAGGTCCACTCGCAAATCCTTGCGCATGGAGGCAATGCATTGTTACTCGGCAATCCGCTAGGTAGTCGACCTTTTGGAGCCTACAGCCTTGCTGGGCCTGATCCCACGCGGGTGCCGGGCCAAACCGCCACCGAACAGGATTCAGCAATTGACGCCTGATGGCATGATGCGCTAGGCAGACGCGTCTGCAATCCCACATACAGGCCGGGTGAGATTGTGATAAAGAGATCCGGTTCGAGCCGCTTCTCTTGTCCCTCCCTCCTTCCATCTCACACCAAGCCTCCCTTGTCTGCCTGTTTGTGAAGATCAGTATAGGGATGTGTTGAATAGCGGAGCCGGAGGGCGGAGGCGGAGCCGCCATCAACGGAGCTCGGGGGCCAAGCTGAAGAGCAGAAAGCTAGTGGAGGAGCAGCAGAATGGACACAAAAAAAGGATTTCTTGATTCATGGTTCTGCACAGAACGCTTGCTGCAGGAACCTGGGACTTTCGGCAGACAAAGCGCGAGAGACAGAGCCCTCGAAAGTAAAGAAACAGAGAGACAAAACGCGGCCATTTGGCCGATGGGACCCCCAGCAATTTCATGCGCATATCCGATCCTGCAGCTTAGCTGCGCTGCATGGCGCCAGTCCTAGACAGGTTGTGACATTCCGAAACCATGTCTGAATGGTAGCTGGCATGTTAACCAAGGGAAAGTAGCGACAATCAGCGAGACCAGCCTATCTTGTGTGACCGAGCAGTGGCTGGCGATTCAAGCCATGGGCGAGGCGGAAATGGGGGGGGATCAGAATCCCAAAGATGATGAGCAGCCAAAGGCCGAGCCGGGAGGCCCGCCGAACACATCAGAAGAGTCTCCAAATGCACATCATGGCAGTGCGCCTGTCTTGCACTGCATTTCGAAAGGAGGTCCGATCTGTGCTTTCAGGCGAGTTGATGCTGTTCGATGATGGCTCCATGACAGCAGACAAGGCGCAGTCCAGCGCTATGAGCAACACGATGGCAGCGAGATTCGTTTGATTTGCTTTGGGGTATCCGGACATAGTTCGGGATTTTCGGGCCTTGCTCACGTTGCTCTGGTCACTGTTGTTTCCTGCGAGCCCTTTGCACCTCTGAGGCTTGATCATCAACTACGCAGATCCTGTCCTGGCTGCTGGCACCGCTGTCTTGGGTTTGGGCCTGGTGGTGCTCCCTTTCCTCAGCAAGC